ATTTTCTTTGATTCTTTCTAACAAGATACCACCTTATTGTTCTCCTTATTGTCACAATTAAGTATTTTACCTTACTGGCCTTAACTTCTCATATTTCCTTATTGGTAAACTACCGTTTGGACAGCCATTATTCCATAGAAGCTATTCTTTCAAAGATCAAAAGCAACTGCTGGTAACTCCCAAAGCATGTTTAAAATCCCCTACCATGAGAATCTGTAACACATGAGCATGTGATCTATGAAGTAGGAAGGAATATAATTGACTACAGAATGTCTCAAAATAAAGTAAAACACTTGAGAATAAAATGGATCAGGTTAAAGAAGCTAGAAAATGATTAAAGAAGGTGACAATAGAGGCTAAGCTCTAACATCAGTATGGTAAACCTAATGCAGTTCTTATTAGCCATCAATTTGAACAATAAATGAATAGTGAAAACATTTTTAAAAAGAGCCATCTCTGTGAGCAGGGTGTATTCAGTAGCACCATATAGAAACAACAGAAACATCAGGTGTTATCCACACACTTCCTACATTGGAAGTCTCAGCTTTGCCTTCTGTCATTTTCACCACCCCTGATTAAATTCAATACCTCTTTGTGGGACATAGTCTGTTACCTTCCTAACCAGCCTTTTTGCTTCCAGATTTTTTCCTCATCTAACACATTTTCAACCATGTCATCCAAGCTGACTGTCTAAATCTGATTATATTATTCCTCTTCTCAAAAGTGTTCAGTGTTTTGTTTTTTTCCCTTGGGGATAAAAATATCCAAATTGCTTAATACAACATTCAAGAGTTTTATAATTCATTTTCAACCTGCATTTTCATCTTGACCTCAGCTCATATTTCTCAATACCTTACATGCTGAGCTTGCTGTTTTTCCCCCAATTCTCATTAATCCCTTCTCACTGTGGCTTAATCTATTCCATCTATCTTAACCAACATTCTTTTTCTCTGATTGTTGAGTGATGCATCACTTATCCTTCAATCACGATGTAGTTCCTCTGTGAAGACTATCTAGATTGAATGCCACCAAGTATAACTAACTGCACTCTTGTAACACAAGTACTGGTGAGAGTTCTCAGTACCCCCAGGAGATGGTTTGAAGCTAGAAAGAATTAATGCCTGACAAAATTAACAATAAACAAGTATGTATTACATTTTATTGAACAGGTAGGTCTTTGTCTCATGATACTGTGGTTATCAACGTTTGAGTATAGGATTAATAAACACATAGCTCTGGTTTTGTGAAACTCAAGCTGAAGATTGGGTTAAGGGAATGGTGAGACCCACCAGAGAGGTCAGATCATTCTGTGGGTCAGGTTAACATGTAAATGAGGTTTCAAGGCTGGATCTGGTGGACAAGACAGAGCAGGGTCACATTTGTTTCTGGATGATTTTTGAACAATTATGTTTTTTATTATACAAAGAAGTTGACACAAACATGCCATGAAGTACCTACAGAGATATGAAGATTGGGAATGATAGAAACACAGATACTATAATTCTCATAAGTTCAGAAAAAAAGGTCATTTTGAGTCAATAAATGCATGGAATGGGACCCAGAAATGATAAGTCAGTAGTGAGGGTTGAAACAAAAGGACTGGTTTGGTATAAGCAGATAATGGCTGTTCTTTCCTAAATTAGATAGGATTCAGTCAGGGGAAAAAAAATGTTTTAACTATATCTGTCCTGTATTCCCTAGGGCTTTATGGGTCCTACTGTCTGTTGGGATTACTTAAGGGAGCCATGACCAATTCTAAAGAATTACACAGAATAAAAAGTAAGAACAGTCCATATATTTGAAATAAGAGCTTCCTGGGGCGCCTGGGTGGCGCAGTCGGTTAAGCGTCCGACTTCAGCCAGGTCACGATCTCGCGGTCCGTGAGTTCGAGCCCCGCGTCGGGCTCTGGGCTGATGGCTCAGAGCCTGGAGCCTGTTTCCGATTCTGTGTCTCCCTCTCTCTCTGCCCCTCGCCCGTTCATGCTCTGTCTCTCTCTGTCCCAAAAATAAATAAACGGTGAAAAAAAAAAATTAAAAAAAAAAAAAAAAAAAGAAATAAGAGCTTCCTTCCTTTCTTCCAACCAGAAAAATTAACCATTTCAAAAAATTTAAATGATTAGCATGATTTTCTGAATGATTTTTATTTAGTCTTTATAAAAATAGCACAATCAACTTTTTCTTAAAGATAAATGAGCACAGTATAAACTCATATAATTTTAGAGCATAGAGTAACTTTAGAAAAGGTAAGTTTAACCCTCTCATTTTACAGATATGAAAATTTTTCTAATTAGGAAAGACGTTTTCCCTGGACAGCTAGTGTCAGAGATGATTCTGGAACCCATGACTTTTGTTCTTTTTCCATAACATAATTTCATCACTATTAATTATTATCTAATGCAGGGGTTGGCAAACCATGGCTTGTAGGCCAAATCTGGCTTGCTGCCTGATTTGGTAAAGTTTATTGGAACACACAGTGTTTACATATTGTCTGTGGGTGTTTCCATGTGACAACAGCAGACTTAAGTAGTTACGCAGAGACCATATGGCTCTGGGAACCTAAAATATTTACCGTCTGGCTAGTTAAAGAGAAAATTTGCCAACCTCTGATCTCAACTATCAGTCCTTTTGTGAGAACCTTGCACCCTTTCCTCATTCCTCTCCCACTTGATTTTCTCTGCAACTCTCCAGCAGCATCCACACTCTCCTATGGGGCATGCACAGGGGAAGGAAACAAGAGCCTTTATATTCCAGCAAGATCGCCCACTGCTATCTGTTAGTATTCACATTTTATACCCAAACTAAATTCTCCTAAAGGAGATGGTTGTCAATGCCTTGTTAAGGAGCCACTAAGAAAAATAATATACATTCTAAGTTGGACAATGGGTAGACATTGTAGACATCATCGCTACTGGCCCGAGTATACATAAGCAGTGGCGAGAATAATTGATACTTTGAGGTCTGCTGCAGCAACTGGCTTCAAAGATTTTGTCTGCAAACAAAGGCATACGTAGTTAAGATTAGATAATTTTGTACTGATGTCTTTTCAAATTATTTTTGTGCTGACAGCTTACAACCACAATTCTCTTTGTGATGAGAATTTAGCCTGAGAGTCCTTTCCTGAAGATCCCTTCATCATCTGAGTTGATAATGGTGAGCACATTGACTAAGAAACCAAAATAATGCTATCACCGACCCCCTCCGCAACCCCACACATAGAAAAATAACGCTAGAATGGGTACTCTGAAAGGACAGAGTAATGCTCATAGTGAACGTTCATTTGGAGAAGAAAGGAGACTAAAATGAAATATGATGTTCAGATAGCAAGAGATATGGTAATGAAGAAGGTTAAGTTAGCTTCTCAGATTGTAGCGATTAAAGATAAGGATGTGGATGGCAAGACCAAGAAAAATAATATGGAAAAGACTAACCAGAATTCTATGATAGGAAGAACTGAGAAAGATCATATTCATCTGAACCTCAAACCCTGTTGACAGTAGACAGAAAATGGTGAATTCTTCTATAGCCTCACAAGAGTGGGGAAAGAAAAAGCACCCGATTCTCAGTACTATTCTGCATGGCTCACCTGTTATTGAGGATATTGCTGGCAATTCATGCTGCACTCCCTTTGAAGTTACTGAGAATGAAGATAGAAGAATGATATTAACGTGAATGTGTATCTACAAGTAAATTATTCCTGAGAGCCTCAACTTTGAGTACAACAGACTCACAGGTGTTTCCTCTGAATATTTTTTAACAAGTGCTTTTAATAAGTAGAGCAGGACTAAGAAAGCCATTCACAGGAATATGGTCAAGAAATGCCATGAAATGCTTTCAGCTGACAAAGGTCAGTGATAACAATTCATTTTATCACATATATCCAAATCGCTGGGACTAGGGATCTAGGCAAATTCCACCAATAGAGTTACTGCTCAGAGTTAGTAATAGGATTGGTCAGAAAAGCATCATATAAAAGAGGCCCAAGTGATTCTGATTGATCAGAGAGGTCTCAGAATCATTGAGCATAGAGTTTAGATCAATGAAGAATTCCAGGTTTTAGAGCGCTCAATAACCTACAACTTAATTAATATGTCCAAGAAACTGGTTTTTTTTTTTTAATATTCTATTACGTGTTAAAATTAACACTGAAGTCACTTGTAAGTAACCTCTTATCTAGACCCTATATCCAATGTTCTGAAGCCTGCGTTGGGACCCAGCGTCTCTCTGCATTAAGCTTCCCTTTTCTATTCAGACACTGGGACCCGCACATCTTGATTGCTTCATACTTTTTGAAAGCATTTTTTTTTCTTTTACTAAAAGCTACAGATATTTTCCTTGTTCTTCTTTATTTATTTCCTAAAATGATTTAGTAGAAGTTCCTACCCTGTGTTCATGATCCTCACACAAGCTCACAACGAGCATTCTGCAAGGTTACTGTCTCCTGGCTTAATCTTTCTACTTAGTCTTAATATTAGCACAATTACTATATTTTTAAATTTAGATAGGTGAGTTTACATCTAGCCACTTTTGAGTAACTTATCAGTCTACATACATATAACTTGAAACAAAGAAAGGAGGGTAAAATGAAAGGAGACACAAGAAGACACAATATAAGAGTTAATCTTTTCTGAATGTTTGAAATAGGACTGCACATATGCTTTAAACACAACTCTATTATACTGCCAATGGAAAGTGAATCTTATATCTGATTAATACGCAATATAAAACCAAGAGCTTTAACTCTTAAAGTATTATAATAGAATTTAGTATTTAATCCCATTCCTTTTAGGTATGCAGTATAATGGTTTTCTATTGACTAAATTTAAGTTGTGAGCACTTCTCCTGGAACTTAGGTCTTAGTGGCTATTGCAACATGCATTGTAGTGAACCTCTTGCTCCATAAGGTGGCATCAACCCACCAGAGTGAGCAGGGAACCACAGATCATATTTCAGGTGACCTTGGACCTTCAGCTTTCATTTTTCCTAAAGTTGTTTTATGCAAAGGAGAAATTCAAAGGGATTTTAAAAGGTTCCTTCAGATCTATTATCTACTGACTTACAAAAAGAAAATCTCAAATGAATCCAAATCTGTGTTCTTCTAAAGAGCCTAAAGTTCAAGTGTGCAGTTGAAGCTTATCTGAATCTCCCGTCTTCCCTGGCCTGCATACTTGGGCTTGAAGTCCTGTTGGGAACTCTGTGCTTCTGGGATTTCTGACATTTCAACTTTTGGATTATAGTCGAACCTACAGTCACACGTACCATGCAGGTAATGATTTTCATAGTTTTCTTATGCAACAAGGAAAGGTGGGAAATGGATAAACATGTAAGATATTTAATATGTGATTTTTTTTGGCTTTTTACAAACTCAACTAAGTTTTGTTTAAAAATAAATGGTGCTCCTTGAATTGCTTTTGTAGGAATATAAAAAAAAACTCAAAAATACATAATTAAAATAATCAAATAAAAATGAAATTGAGTTTCACTATCCTCATGTGATAAAGGAGATGGATTAAACTAATTTATTAATAATAAATTAAAGGGAGAAAGAAAATAAAGGGAGAAAGAAAAAATACAGTCGGTTCAACAATCACTTCTTAGTGAATGTTAATATTGTAATTTATGAATGCATGCTAACTAGTTCACATAACAGAAAAACAAGTGATTTTATTCCATATATCATTAAAATACCACGCACTATGTTCTGCCAATATAAATGCATTTACATCCCCACTTATTTCAAAAGGCCATTTTCGAGAACATTGTTACAATTCAATATGAAGAAACCTGTTTACCTCTCAACTCCTAGTACCAGCTATCTCTGAAGAGGTTCTTGTAATATGAGAAATAATGACCTGATATTGCAATAAAGGCAAGCCTTAAGCAGTTTTCTCAACTCTGCTTTTTACCCATTTGGTGACATTATATAAGTCATTTAATCTCCCTACGTGTAGATTCAGAATTTACTCCCCATTCTTACTTTACAGCAATGTTAGGAGGATTAATTGGATAATGAATCTAAAGGCTCTAGGCTCAGCAAAGAAAGATCCAAGAGCAATGTATTATTTGCCAGTGAAAGAAGACAATGAGAAAGCACTTTCCCTACTAATCAAAATTATTCCTACCGAGAGAGTGAATGTTAGCAAGTAAATTAAGACTATTTTTGATAGAGTTTCTAGTTTCAGATATCCGAGGGCAGAAAGCAAGGAGTGCAAACATAGCTCTCAGACAATTTAAATATATTTCTTCTATTAAGAAAATGGGGCCACTTCAAAGGCATAATGGAAAAGATTTCATAAAGTCATCAAAGCACAAACTGTGAGATAGCTGGATTAGACCTAAAGACATATGTTCATTAAGAAAAAAAAAAATAGTAATTGAAATGAAGGTGTTTTCTCGCATTTTTTTTCTCCATTTACTCAGAATAAAGACCACACCATGGTAAATGATTTAAAAAATAAAGTAATAAAAATCTATCTTGTATGATAGTGGCACAAAACAGAATGTCCGGAATTTATGATGAACGTTAAAACCTGTGAGTGTCTATAAGTATGAAGGCAATGAGGAGTTGTTTAAATAGAACTGGATTGGGAATAAGATTACCTGAGGCTGCCCTTTTTGATGCCGTTTCCTTAGGGTATTTTGCCCTTAAATTAAAGGTTTGCACAAGAGGTCTGCATCATATCTAAGTAGTTTTCTTTTTTTTTTTTTTTAATTTTTTTTTCAACGTTTATTTTATTTTTGGGACAGAGAGAGACAGAGCATGAATGGGGGAGGGGCAGAGAGGGAAGGAGACACAGAATCAGAAACAGGCTCCAGGCTCTGAGCCATCAGCCCAGAGCCCGACGCGGGGCTCGAACTCAGAACCGCGAGATCGTGACCTGGCTGAAGTCGGACGCTTAACCGACTGCGCCACCCAGGCGCCCCATATCTAAGTAGTTTTCTAACTGAAAGATGAAGCAGTTACAATTTTCATCTGAGTTTAAATCTCAATAAGAGTTATTTCCCTGACCAATAAAAAATGAAAGCAACCGATTTTGGTCCAGGTGTGGAATCTCCCACTGTGCTACGTTTCCTTAAATTGGGAATGATGAGGATAAATGAGCCCACCACTAACTACATCAGAGTAGTACTCCGTTCAGACTTGGTTTGAATTTAGCCATCTTCAAGTGGAAAACACATTTGAAGCAGGATTTCTGAATTTGTTCTGTGGAATCAAAAACTCTCATTTTAGCAATTTTGGTAGTTTGTGAAAATGGTTAGTGCTAGTGCATATAAAGCAGAGTTCTTAGTACCCGATACTATCTAACATTGTCTTCAAATAGATCACCTGGTTTATGAATTTGAAGTGTTAGCAATCATTTGTCAACCTTCTTCCACCAGTATGATAGATGGCATTGTGGTTAACCTGTGTTCCTGTTTTGTTATTGGATTGTAGCAATTATCTTGGTCTTTTAATTATACATCCCAGTCAAATGATCTCATTTCTTCTGAGGAAACTCAAAGCCGTTCTAAGACAAGTAATTAATTTAGTTTTAGAACATACTAGATATACTTCCAGAGAGCTGATGATCCATGGTCATCAAGACAAAAACAAATATGAACATTCACATTTCAAACACTCTAATAAATCATGCTATTTATCAACTAATAAATTCTATTTGAATAATAATCAAATTAGCTCATAATCCAACCATGTATCATATAGTTCATTATAACTGCATGCTTTAAAAATTGATGGTAAATTGTAAGTTGTCTTAGTGCACATGCAATTTCTTATTACATTAAGATTTGCTTAGGAGCTAAATCTAATTTTAAACTTTTCATAAAGTAACCAATGAAAGAGAAAGGTTTTGAACTAATTTCATGATATCACATACGTTTTGGGGGGATTGTGGTAATATTTTCCTTATTTTTTCCCAAGTTTAATGTGGGGATATTTGCGGAAATAATGAAAAAAATTTTCATCATAAATGCTGATTTTAAATTACAGATGATATTTTTAGATCTTTACTGCCCTCATTGCAAATTTACTTATTTTTTCATATGGAAATTATTGTTCTTAACAAGGTTGGAAGCCAATGATTTCTTTCGAGACTGAGTTTTGTTACTTTGAAAAATCCACCACAAGGTGGCAAGCCAAGAGAAGTTTTTAAACTATATACTCTGGGACTGTAATTTGTGGGGTGAGAATTCCAAGTCAGTTCATTTGAAGAGTCACCACACACCTGACATGTCAGTTGCCAAACCAGTACGTAAAAGTTGATGTACGCTCCAATCAAAAATCATAATTATCCATAAAGGAAAGGCAGCAGGCTATGAAGCCAAAGGCTCTGGCATTGAGCCAGATATCTTAGATCTACCTTGGATCTAATAGCTTTAAGCTTGGCAATCACGTTAACTCTTTGTGTCAAGGCATTTTATTTCTTTGTGCCAACCTAGCAGTGGTGTTGTATATAGTAATGAAAAATAGCTGGCTGTTGCATTTCAGCTCCAGCTACCTCCACGAGTCTAGGGGAATAAGCAGTGCTAAAAGGAGGTTTCACTTTCAAGCAATTCAATTCAATTTACCTCACCTAAATTCTACTCACGGAGATCAACCAGATGAGAATTGTGCTGGACACACCGAGGTGTACACAGGTAAATAAACAAACAAACAAATCTTTGGCCTCAAGGACACAAGGGAAGGGAATTTTCAGAAATTTCATCACTAATAAAATTGAAAATGTACACATATAAATACACATAAATATCCAAATCTGTTGCTAGCTAATAAGTACCTATAACATGTATATATCTTACACTTAATACAGAGACAGTATTTTGTTTGGTAATAATTTATTAGGAACTCCATACAATTGTCATGCTCTGTACCATATTTATCATGGCTTTATCAGGCACCAAAAACAAGGCAGTGCGTGTTTCTTACTTTTACAGAGGTAAGTTTCTTCAATACTAAAACCAACCTGACAGTTTTTGCTTAGAAAGTAAATTAATCCAGAACTAAACTTTAAACTCTGGTCCTCAGGATACTGAAGGACAATGTTTGTTTGTTTGTTTGTTTGTTTGTTTTTTTTTTGAAAACAAAGACCATGTCTTCTCCTCACTTTTTAGGACTTCTTTTAGCTCCCAGTGTCCTGCAAATAGTGGGACCTGCTCAGTGTCGCTTTGTAGATTTATGTACTCTAGAGGCATTCAGTAATGTGGATCTATACCTGGGCAACTAGAACACAGCTTTATGAGTTATGTTGCTAGTATTATAGTGGTTTCCATTACTGATTTAATAAGTGTCATTGCATTTTCTCAAGGAATAATTTAAAAATATAAACTTGAAATTCCAATTTGTAAATGAAATGAAAGGCTGGAAGCAACAAATGTCAAATTTTTACATCAGGTTGCCAGCTAAGAACTTTGCTGAATAATTACTTGTTTTATATATGCTAGAAAAACTGCAGTAAATATATGTTAGACATTTAATCAAACAGTATTTCTTATATCTGACAAATTTATTTTTTTAAAGTTTATTTATTTATTTTGAGAGGTGAGAGGGGCGGAGAGAGAGAGAGAGAGAGAGAGAGAGAGAGAGAGAGAGAGAGAGAATCTCTAGCAGGCTCTGTGCTGCCAGCTCAGAGCCTGATGTGGGGCTCGATCCCACAAACTGCAAGATCATGACCTGAGCCGAGATCAAGAGTCAGGTGCTTAATGAACTGAGCCATCCAGGTGCCCCTCTGATAAATTCATTTTTATGCATAATCAAGTTGTCCTTTTGTCATCTTTTTCTCTTTCATTTATAATTGATCAAAATGGACCCCAATTAGCATTATTTTGAAATTAATACTAATGCAGACCTTCTTAGCTGTGGTCTGGTGAAGTTATCTTCGGAAATTCACGACCCCCAGCAATTTTGCCACAAAAGAGACATCCAGCAATGTCCGGAGACATTTTTATTGTCATTGTAGGGGAACGAATTGCTCCTGGCATTTAGTAAATAGCGGTTGGAATGCTACTTAAAATCGTACAATGCACCAGACAGCCCCTCACAACAAAGATTGTCCATAGTGCTGAAGTTGAGAGAACCTGTTATTTTAAACCTTATATTCAAAGTTGGAGATCAGGAGATTATATATGTATGTATGTACGTATGTATATGTATATATATATATATGTATATATATATATATATATATACACACTTGCATTTTTTAAATGAAAGAAGTCTATGGATTTCATTTATTATGAGTTCCTGATATCAAAAACTACAGTGAGAAG